CAGTTCTGGCTTGAGGTTGTTTTGACGTTCAAGTCACATGACAGCAGAACCATAATTTTCTTGGAAATAATTATCGATCACTCAAAAATACCTCGCTACATTGAACAAATTCCACAACCTGTGGTATCTTCAAGAAATTGTTGAGTTAGGAAAATTAATGCACATGGATATATTATACTATAATATTTGTGTGTATGAAAGTCCAGAAGCTTACAACAAGCTATTCTCTTGATGAAGGTTGGTAAGTTACAAAACAAATCATTGCATAACCATATTATATACTTATCGCATTATTTTCAGGTGTGATTCATTATCACAGACTTTATGAGAGTTGGTTCCTCAGTAAAATGCTATGTTTACTTTGGAAGGATAAGGAGGTGAATGATCTTTCTAAGAAGGAATTTATGCATCCAGGCATAATTGAAGGAATCTTACAGAAACAAAACGAGAATTTGATTTATGTGACCGATATGTGCTACACTGGAATTTGTTAATTAAAGCCTGGCATAAACCTGTATGATCATAGTCATAATGATAAGAATGAACACTTACGAACTTGAAGACAAGCTGTGCTAAGCAAGTATGTATAATGTGTAAAGGTTCTGAAATTGAGTCCATGGTAAATTGACAATTATGATTTCAGGATATTAAAAAGAGCATGGGCATGTAGGAGCACCAATTATGAGACATTACAAGGTGTAAATGGGAAAATGGAGTTGCAGCATGAAGTTAAATTCTTCATTACTTTGTACCATCATGGCAGAAAATTCCACAACTAATTACAAGAAAACTGTGGGAATCAATTCCCTGTAGAAGCTTACAACCAAGCTGTTCTCTTGATGAAGGTTGGTAAGTTACAAAACAAATCATTGGATATTCATATTATATACTTATTGCATGATTTTCAGTGTAATTCGTTCAAACAGACTTTACAAGAAGTTGGTTCCTCCATGGATAACAAACATGTCCCGAATGCAATTGCATTGTTGATGTCAAGATGCCTGTTCACAAATCATTACTGGACTCTATGTGAAGTGTCAAGCTACAAATATGTACAATGTGTGTATGTGAAGATCATAATTACCATTTATCATTATTTTTTCAGGATGCTTGAAATACCATATCCATGTAGGATTACCAAATATGAAGTATTACAGGGAGTAAACACAGTTGTAGCATGAATTTAAATCAGAAAAACTTCATGACATAAAATTCCACAATTAATTACAAATGGAAAAATACAAGAAAATTCTGACTCATCCAGGGAATCACTTTCCTGTTAAACAAATTTCAAACACTTCAAAGGTCTAGATAAGCAGAAGAGACCCATTATTTTGAAAAGTGTACCTCAAAGTCAGGCTAGGTTAAGCCCCAATAAGTGCGTTTCAATTTGTCTTGTATTGTATCATATGCGACTTAACATAACTTATAAAGTTAAGTAAATTTGCTGATCATTACAGGTAGGTCTTACCTGGCTCTGAGATACAAAATTTGATTTGAATTTAAACTTCTAGGTATAAATTGTGGTTTTAAATGATTATTTATAATTGAGACTCCAGCTACTGAGGATACCAAAAAAATACATCAGCGGCAATAATAAGATTGATGCACTGAGCCTCAAAAAACAGTATGTTGTACTTTTTAAATGTGTCGCACCATATATCAGTGTTGTAGCCTATTGTATAAGGAAAAAAAGTAAGGAAACTTAAATTTTATTAAGAAATTCAAATCTCAACTAAAAATTTTTAATTGGTTTGGAACCCTAACTTAAAAGGGAAAATCTATCCAAAGTATGGCATGTGAAAGGAAAGCATTTTCGGGTTGAAAAAGAAATATCAAGAATTAAACTTTGTTTGATATTTGAAACACTCATATGAAAAGCAGAGTTTGTTAGTTATGATAGAAACAGCAAAAAAATCGTTGGCTCAAAAGTGTGCATTTACCTCTTGTAATACTAGGAGCTGCAATTCAGTGTGTTTCCTAATGGTACATGAGTGACGCGGCATTTCTTTAATTTCCACCAGTGATGCTATTGAGGAATTTCACCTGCTTATTTTGACAGGCAGTAATGGTATGCCACTGATGTCTCTTTTACTAAAATTTGTAATCACATCTAAGCAAATTTAATCACTTGAATGTTTTCCAATCTGATGTAGGGTTTTCATAAAAAAAAACTGTCTCTAAATATTGTTAATATGACAATATCACCATGCAGCGAAATAGTTTCTATTTTTTGGATGGAAATCATAGGTCTGACTAAAAAAAAAATTCTTTTAAAAAAACTGTTTATTTATACATAGTGACATTGTGATACTAACGATATTAGGATCATGCAAAGAAACAGTATTTTAATTTCATAAAATTTGCTCAGAAATCACTGATGAAAGAGCAATTTTTATTTTAAGAGAAATCAGTTGCCTACTATAATTGTCTGCCACAATAGGCAAGTGAAATTCGTACGAACGCCACTCGTGGGAATTCAAAGAATGTTGCATTAAAAATACCTCTTGATGTACATCTATGCCAAACTTTGATAAAGTATTTGAAGTGATATTCCAGATCTTTACAAAAAATTTTATGAACTTTTGAAAAGTTTAGCACTCTGTTTCTCAAAGGTCAAGAGATTTAGGATATACGTCATATGAAATATTCTTAAAATGGACTGAAAGTTACCCCCGTAAATATAGACATTCAATTGGAAAACACCCTGTATATTTTATGTAAGTAAATTAAAAATGAATAAAGGTTATTGTGATACACTGCTGTAGTTTTTCATTTTTGATATATTGTTTCTTGGCCAGATATTCATAATTTCTGTAATTAGTTGTACCTTTTGGATTGGTGATACTTACGTTTTGACATACTACGTATGAGTTCATTAACAATTTCATGTATTATACTTTTCAGATGGCAAGTATTTGTGGAATGTAAATAAAAGCATCATTGGTAAAATCAATATTTATTTAGAAATATAATAGGTTTTTCAGAAATATATGGAAATACAGATTTCATCAATTTGTCATTCTTCTTTTCTCTTAAAACAAATGTTTCATCATGATGTTAACAATATTGTATGCTACTTTCAAATTAGAACTTCTACAAACAAAACACTGTGTGGACAAACAATTTAAATATATATCGACTCTTCTTTTTCCTCTAATAACGTGCCTTACACTAGAATTATTCTGTCCTGCAACAGTATCTTGTAATCTCGGCTTCTCAGGATGGGATGAATCTTTGAGCAATGCAAGTAGATCTGAAAAAAATACCATTGAAAGGGTGATTTCTTACATTTTACTCCTTAGCACCGATACAACCATAAGTGTTGAAATATGTTTTTCATATAGTCTTTAGTTACACCACTGGAATTTTATTTTGTCATTATCCTTTGCACCGTGCTTCCATTGTGTGAAGTATTTAATTACTCAGGACAATTGTTGGCCAAAGGTGGTCAATAACGAAGAAAAAGGTAATGGTTTTCTAGCAATACTCCAACTTTATCATATATGCCATTCAGTTGAATGGTTAAGAAATTTCAAACAAATGGCCTTAGCTTTGTGAAAATCGTCGAATAAAAATGTCGATTACAATATTCAAGAATGCACTTTATCGAGTTCCGTAAGACATTTCAGCTATCCAACATGCAACATTAACCATTCGAGAACCAATTGCCTAAGCATAACAAAGTTCATCTTGAGCTCCATAACTTTAAAACTCTTATGATTATACATACAGACTTATGCATTCCTTGAACTAACAAATTCTACTGTAACAATATCGAACACAAAAGGCAAACTCATGTGTTTCAAAATGGTGTGGTTACAACAGGATTCTCTTTTTCACCGGTGTTAGGATGCTTCCATGTGCCTGAATGTGTAAATTCCTTCTTATGAAGATCATTCAGCTCTCTATCGTTCTTAGTTTACTTCTGTTGGCAATATCAGGATTAACTTTTTTGCAATATATCATCCCTCACATTATTTTTACCAATGTTTACACCTTGATCACAATATAGGTTGGCCTTGGTTAAGCTGTCAATTCTAAATATTCAACTGTTCTGTTTGAATCGATTCTACGCTTTGTTTTTGCCATGAGGCTCACTGCATCATTTTTCTTATTTCCAATCACATTGTTGTATTGTTTCACGGTCAGCAACTGAAGCTTTTATTTTAGACGAATATTTTTTTTTTGTCTGCATTATCAACAGTAACTAAAAACCACAATTTATACACATAACATATACACAGAAAATTCAAATATTTGAAATTGACAGTTTGAGGTTTTGATATGATACATTTTCATGACAGCTTCCCATTTAAAAAAAAACTTTTTCTGCTTATATCAATATACAGGGTGACTTCGAAGTTGAGTCATTTATTTTAACAGTGAGTAGATCTGATCAAAAGAAATGTTTTTTCCTTTACCATTTTTCTGGTAAAATTAAAGTAACAAAGTTATAGCCCTTTGGAAGTTTGAGTACCGCCCTGTCTCAATCATCATGTGCTCGTGTTGGCAACAACGGATATAATCCACCTTATCGGTTCATCGCATCGGAAACAAAAAGCGAAAGAATTTGGAACGATGTTTACTTTATTCAGTTCAGTTATACATACAATCAGTGTCAGTCGCGTGTGAATAGTTGCGTGGCTCAAACGAAATAAAAAATGGCACATGTTTATGCGGATCGGTTTCCCAATCGAGTGCAACCAACCCCTCGTGCCTTGTTAATAGTAGTACAACGGGCTCGTGAATCAGGTGACTTCAGACCTCACAGGGGACCTCACGATCAATACAGGTCCGCACTGAAATACTTGTCGGGAGGATACTTTATAAAACAAGGTAAAATTTTTTTTTTATTTTTTTTTATTTTTACACACATATTTTGGTTTATCTTCCTTCTACAATCATTATCTGAAAATTAATGACTCAACTTCAAAGTCACCCTGTATATATATATATATATATATGCCCAAAGGCTAATATGTAAAACACGGCACCTGAAATATCAGTCCTATTCAGTGTTGACATTCCTTAAGCAGGGAATTGATTCCCAGTTTTCTTGTAATTAGTTTGGAATTTTCTGCCAAGATGGTATAATGAAGAATTTAGCTTCATGCTGCAACTCAATTTTCCCATTTACACCTTGTAATGTCTCATAATTAGTGCTCCTACATGCCCATACTCTTTTTAATATCCTGAAATCATGATTGTCAATTTACCATGGACTCAATTTCAGAACCTTACACATTATACATACTTGCTTAGCACAGCTTGTCTTCAAGTTCGTAAGTGTTCATTCTTATCATTATGACTATGATCATACAGGTTTATGCCAGGCTGTAATTAACAAATTGCAGTGTAACACATATCGGTCACATAAATCAAATTCACGTATTGTTTCTGTAAGATTCCTTCAATTATGCCTGGATGCATAAATTCCTTCTTAGAAAGATCAATCACCTCCTTACCCTTGCAAAGTAATCATAGCATTTACTGAGGAACCAACTTCTCGTAAAGTCTGTGATAATGAATCACACCTGAAAATAATGCGATAAGTATATAATATGGATATGCAATGATTTGTTTTGTGCATTAATTTTCCTAACTCAACAATTTCTTGAAGATACCACAGGTTGCGGAATTTGTTCAATGTAGCGAGGTATTTTCGAGTGATCGATAATTAAATCAAATTCAAGCGGATAACCAAATGGAAATGGTATTTACCATTTTGGGTTGGTATTTACCAATCCGTTCAAGCGAGTGTAATGTTGGACCAGCGAAAGATTGCAAGCCGAAAGAATGCGGACAAAAAATTGCGAAGTTGTCAGATGTTCTACATAAAATGCGGTCCATACATATTAACATATTTAAGATATAGAATTGTTCCGCTGAATTTGGCAATGTAGCTGGAAAACCCAGGCCGCAGGTAAACATCCGGTCGCTGATTGGTCCAAAACTCTTATCTTATCTGAAACTAGAATAACGTGCCGATGGCACGGTCATTTATAAACCTACTCCCATAGGCGTAGGCAGTTGGCAAATACTTTGAAAATATAATTTACTGTTTAGTGGTGATAATGGAATTCAAGCATGGGAAAGTTATTCACAGCCAGGCAAGGGAAATAATAGCAAACGTGATACGTGCTTGCGATGCAGAAGCGGCTAACAATACTTTCGTTTATCCACTGGTAGCTAGAAATGCAAGGGCGGCATATTATACGGGTGTTTGAACGAACTATAAGTAAAATTAGAAAAGAAGATAAAGACAGGCAAAATGCAACCTCCACACAGCCTTTAGCTTCTCCCGGAAAAAAGAGATCACGCCCTTCTGTGATCCAAAAAATTGATGGAGTCGATTTTTCCATTATTCGGAGAATGATAGAAAAATTTTACTGTGATTTTAAAGTGGTACCTACTTGTAGTAAACTTCTAATCAAACTGAAGGAAGAAATGGAATTTCCATTTGGTAAAGAATCGTTGAGGCTGCTTTTAAAAGCAAAAGGATTTTACTGGCGTAAATGCCACAACAAAAGGAAATTACTAATGGAAAGACCCAGTATTTTACATTGGCGATACAAGTATCTTAGGTCTATTAAAAAGTTCCGGGAAGAAGGAAGGCATATTATTTATTTGGACGAAACTTGGGTTGATAATGACCTCACTTTCAAGAAATGCTGGCAAAGCGAAGAAATTATGGGTGTCCTGAGCAATATAAGTTCTACAGGTAATAAAGTTTCTTTCACCTCGATTTTGCTTATTATACATTTTTCTCAATTTTGGAATATTCTTAATAAGTGCTCATTTAATTTGTCTAATTGAATACATAATCCCTTGCAAGTATTTTTTTCTCAAAAATATGTTTTTTATACATAGTGATTCAAAAAGGTGTTGGCAAACTTAAAATAACACTAAAATGAGGCTATTTATTCATTTCCAGGACGACTTATAATTGTTCATGCGGGTTCGCAAGATGGTTTTGTTCCTGGAGCCTGTCTCATTTTCAAGGCTGGCTGTGCCACTGGTGATTATCACGGTCAAATGAACCAAGAAAATTTCACGAAGTGGCTTACTGAAAAACTATTTCCTAACATTCCTCCTAATAGTATTATAATAATGGATAATGCACCTTACCATTCAGCTTTGGAAGACAAGCCTCCAACTAGATCTTCTCTAAAAGAGACATCATCACGTGGTTGAGCAAAAAAGGTATAGAGCATGATCCTAATGCTAAAAAAATGGAGCTTTATGAAATAGCTTGTCTACATAGGCCACCATCTGATGAGAAAAATTATAAGATAGATAATTTAATAAGAAGTTTCGGACACACCCCACTTCGAACGCCACCCTATATGTGTCAGTTTAATCCCATAGAGATGATTTGGGCACAAGTAAAATTTTTCATTAGAAGCCATAATACAAGCGGCGAATTTACTATAAAAAACTAGATGAAATTTCTAATAAGGCCATCGCTTCAGTAAGTGCCAGTGACTGGCAAAAGGTTATTGGACATGTTATAAAAATTGAAGATGAATATTGGGAAAAAGACAGTCTCATTCAAGAAACAGGAAGAAATAATAATCAACATAGGAGGTGAAAGTGATAGCAATGACAGTTCCTCAGACAGTGATCATGACTCTAATCAGGATTGAAACTATACTAGATTGGCTACCTTTTAGAATTTTTAGATATTCATTTATTATACTATTGGTTTGTGGCTTTTAGTATCTCAGTAGAAAGTCTAATTCTATGTGTTGTTTATGGGTTATTTCATCAAGAAATTACTTTTTGTTTTCCTATATTTTTCTATTCAGTCAGATATTTTTGACTTGTTGTATTCTATTTTAGAAGAATGCATAATTTGTTTTGCTGTTCAATCATAATGCGTACATAGGAATATTACTTGTTGCCTAAAAAATATATTTATTTTGTTCTCAATATTCAGTGTTTGTGTAATTTATTTCTTATAATGTATGTTTGGTATCACGTCATTATGAATCGCAAAAAATATTATATACTACCAGTTGTAATAAAATATAAATTCAATTAATAATTCAAGTCCTCTCATCTCCGCTATGACTCCATATAAAATCGTCTAATGGTAAGGTTTTTTCATCGCATTTCCCCCTTTCGTCCCTAGCAATCTTTGGCTGGTCGATCTATAGTTATCAGTTTTGGTTATAAGATCCGTGACGTCACGAATCAGCTGTTATATGTCATAGTTATCACCCGCAAAATTGTGGTATTTACCCAACTCAAGAGTAGTTTTATATTTCTGGTTTATTATTTGAAATGTGGCAAGTTAGAATTTTGCCGGGTATTGGATATTGTTATTGTACTTCAGCTTCATTTTGAGAAAAATGATACAGGCTGACTTCAGTTTTACCATAAAGTGGAGCACCTTATTAGTTATAACTCATTACGGTTGCTGGGGACACTTTAAATGTAGTTCCTATGCTTAACAAAGTATCCTGTGTAGCCATATACCACAAGAATATTAAAATATGGCCATATAAACTCACTAGATGATATCCACCTGTATACGGTTTTGCTAATTTCTTTTTTCATCATTTCTGCTGAATCAATAAATGTTTTCTTTGACATGCGGAAAAATTTAGAGAATTGAAAGTTATCATAGCTACAAAGCCATGGTTCCATCATTAAAAAAAAATCTGGAAAAACATTTCCTCCATGAATATTATGAAAGGTTTCTTATTTAAACTTTCCATATACAGTTGTAGACGAAAAGCACCGATTATTAAGTGATAATAAAAATAATCAGAGATTATGCGCTTTTCTAAATAAACTTGCAACAAAACCGCGGTTAAAACCAACGCGTTCAAGCGATTCGTGTAACTGACGTCATCAACCCGTGTGTCATCTTGAACCATATTATAACCGCGGCATATAACACAGAAATTTTGGTTATTCGCTTGGATTTGATTTTAGTTGCAAGAAATTTCAAATTATGGTTCTGCTGTCATGTGACTTGAACGTCAAAACAACCTCAAGCCAGAACTGTCAGATTTCGGAAATCAAAAGGAGGACATACATGTGCGTTAACGAAGAAGACGTAATATTATCGAAATCAAGAAGGCCATAAACGAGCCCTACAAGTTGTAGGGACGACTGACGATACGGGCCTTAGCCAGGCCTAGCATGATAATGTTTCATCTTATTCTAGTTTTTCAAGAGTTCAGGGCATGACAGCGTATGTACTTAGGTACAACTTCAAACTGTAAACTACCTGAGAAAGACCGATCATCGGAGCACTGACGGCATCAGAGCTTTCACAAACCGCCTGTACTTACTTGACATGACGTCCCATTACTTGGCTTTGAATTGGGTAAATCGTTACCTAGTTCTTCAAAACTGCTTTCATTGAATCCCTTCATGGAGGATAAAGGTGTAATTTGTGTCGGGGGAAGAATTCAAAATTCAAATTCTTGCTTCACATTTAACACCCGCCATTCTTTCTGGTAAACGCTGCTTATCAAAGTTGTTGTGTGAGTACGAGCACAAACGGCTACTACATACCGGACCACAGCAAACTCTTTACTCATCACGGCAAAACTTCTGGATCACTGGTGGTAGAAATCTTGCCAGACAAATCATTCGTACTTGCGTCAAACGCTCTCGTTGTAACCCTTCAGTTACTTCGCCTATAGTGGGAATACTTCCAAAGCGCGTGTCACTCCAGCTCCACCGTTTTATACTTGCCGGAGTAGATTACGCGGGTCCTGTCATGATCAAAGATAAACTCGGTCGAGGTGCGAAACTGACTAAGCTTTATTCATTTTGCTTTGCCACAAAGGCTATTCATTTGGAACTTGTCAGTAGCTTGACCACAGAAGCTTTCATTGGTTGTCGGTTTACCGCCCGCCGTGGAAAACCACTGGAAATTTGGAGCGACAATGGCTCGAATTTCAGAGGGGCTGAAGCGGAACTGCGCGACCTCGCATCCTTCCTTGCCAAAACAAATTTTACTTACAAGAAAGGATATGCAATACCAGTGTTATGTGCGGCAAGGACACAGGTTTATTTGAGTTTACAAAAGTGGACTGTATTTGATTTGGTAAAATGAGTAACAATACAAATTTCTTGAACCTGTTGATGCGTTCTATCTCGACAACCCTCCAATCTTGGTCGCGGCGCTTCGATCTCCTGGTGTCTCCGTCCCCATTGGCTGGATTCAAAAACTGTCAGGCAGCGCTTGCGCAGTGGTCGTGGCTGGTACACAGTGGCGCGCGCGCCAAATGACCATTGGCGTAACAACCAGAGTAAACTGGAAATTCATAC